TGCGCGCTCCAGCGCGTTATGTACGTGAAATAAAGTGAAATTCTCTGCCTTTGGGTGCTCAAGCGCCCAGTAGGGCGCTCAAGCGCGCTGAAAAACCTGAAAATGGCCAAATTCGCTACCTCTGGGCGCTCAAGCGCCCAGTTGAGCGCTCGAGGGCGCATCCCGGAAATAGCATGAACATAGTTTAGTAAAATTGGCATAACTTGAGCTGTAGAGCTTCGAATTGAGCGCAGTTTGAACCCATGAGAAGCTAATGGAGAGATCTATAATATAGTGGAAGATAAGGACCATATAAGAAGAATAAAATTCCTTGAGTAATAAAAGGTGAAGATGTTTAGTGTGGAATATCATTAAAAATGATTTTTTAAGCCTTGTTGATCTAAAATGACTACTTGGCATACTGGGGTATCAACGTATGGTCTAAATAAAATCACATCAAGTGGTCCACTCATAGTTTAAGTTATGATTTCAGTTTTTGGAATTGTTTTAATTACGAAATTATTTCTAAACGAAAATATTTCTTAACAAAAAGAAAAAGTTATCTGTATTATAATTCAATTGTTGTGAGTGTAACTGTGCTTAATGCCATACATAGTGTTAACAAACTGGTTCTAGAACGTCGGTTCTAGAATGACGTGTTACACAATGACTAAACTGGTAGTGTCAAATCCTTAGCTTGGGCAATGTTCACGTACCGATTGCGAATTTGAATTCATTTTGATGGCAACACAAAAAATGATTATGACCTTTTAGAAAATTGGAAGATAAGGAGAGGGAGAGTGAACTGTAAGATTATGACCATTATAGTAGAGAACTATATGGATGGCCACAATGGTGTCACGTGGCAAAGTCCCATTTGGTTCACACGTACCTTGTGTGCAACTAATTGCGCAGTGGTACGTGTGTAACTCATATTATCTTGAAACGTGGCAATTGCACACTAGTTATGCTCACAACTGATTGCATTTGTTAAGTAAAATATTTAAAAATAACATTAATCCTATAATTATTTTTTAAAATGCAGTTATATGAATATTTTCCCGATAAAGTAGTTCCAAAACATTATTGAGGTATATATCAGTAATGCATATGTCTAAGAATAAACACTTTCGAGAGAGATAAATGACAGATTTTAAAAACAAAAAAAAAGTGAATGACTTAAAGAAAATGACTAATATGGATCAAAGGGTGTTAAACGAATCAGGAGTTTTTGGCCCGGCTCGTGAAGGTCTGGGTTTACATATTTAAAATTGGTTGTTGAAACTATGCTTAGTCTTGTATAAAAACTCGTTTAATAAAAGGCCTTAGACTCCAATTCAAAAGCCCAGCCTTAGAGCCTTTCAGCTTGGCCTAGTATACTAACTTTTTTTTTTTTTTTATATTTTTTACACTACTCATAATAGTTCTCTCTCTCTCTCTCTCCTCAACCCATTTTATTGGTTAAACAAACTTTTTGAATGATTTTGTTCTATATTATGTTTTTTTGGATATATATTGAATTTATGAATATTTATGGAATTATTAGTATTGGTGATCATATATTTTGTTTGGATAAATTTTTGTTGTCGTATTTTTTTTTTACATGCTAAATTAGGCTTTTATTTTTTGTAAATAAATCATGCCGCAAGTGTAACACCCCGTTCTAGAACCGGTTTGTTAACATCGCATTATGATATTAAGCGCAGTTATAATCACATGGGTTCAATTAAAATCCGGTTAAATTTTTCATTTCAAAACATGCCAAATTTATAATGCCCAATTGCGTGATCATAACCATATTACTTTGCGGAATCAGATAAACCAAGCTTAACATCATGTTCTTATTCCATTTTTAAACCATTAATTTACTTCTTATTTATTTCCCAACTTCTACTATATTGTAGATTTCTTCGTTAGCTACGCGTGGTTTCAAACCGCTCCTCATTTGGAGCTCTGTAGCTCAAGTTATGACAATTTTACTAACTCGGGTGTATGCTGAAAAACTACGCGGGCAGGGCGCTTAAGCGCGCTCCAGGGCGCTTAAGCGCCCACAGACAGAGGGAATTTACATTTTTTAGCCACCAAGGGCGCTTAAGCTCGCTCCAGGGCGCTTAAGCGCGCTACCTGGGCGCTTAAGCCCCCATTTTGGGCGCTAAAGCCCCAGGCGGCAGAAAGCTTTTGGTCTTCACAGGTGCATCAGGGCGCTTAAGCCCCCTCATGGGCGCTTAAGCCCCCAGAGCAGGCTTAAGCCTCCATTTGCAGGCTTAAGCCCCCTCTTCTGGGCAATTTCCTATACTCATATTTTTCATCTATCTTCCTTGGGGAATCAATCTTACACATTTTACAACCTATTTAACAAGCTTGCGATATCCTTATATCATTGTTTAACTCTCATCCTCTCATCATTGATTTAACAGAAATTGGGCAGCATAACCTTTGTTTTCTCAACGTTTCCCAACTTAGCACAAGGTACCTAATTGACTTTCCAGCTCAACATATCCAATACATAAAAATACATTCATGCATTTAACTTACAGTAAGCATCATACACAAATATCTTCATTACTTACAATATTATATCATGTCTTAATTACAAATCTCATATACATGCCAAAGGACTTAGCTACAAAATGAACATGATCAAAGCAAGTAACCATGTATCAGATACCCATTACTACTACAATGATCATGCACTAAGTCCTCCAAAATACATCATGTGGCATCAAAATATACATATAGCAATGCTAAATGGCATGCAACTCAACATGTCCAGCTATCAGGTACAGTCTACTCACGCTTCTTGCCTCGATCAACCTCACCTCTATCAGTACCTGAAATGATGCCCCACAACACGGGGTGAGATATACGAATATATCACAGTAAACCAGAGGTCCTTGGAGATCACTCCACCCTAAGGTTCACTTTGATGTACACATAATCATAATAGCTTAACACATTCTTATCCACAAGCATCACATGGACTTCCAAGAGAGATCCACTATGGGCTGTTTCTCTTAGGCTCTTACCACATGGAGATCCACATAGGGCTGTTTCCAAGGGAAGTCCTTTCCTCAATCTATTCCAAGAGAGATCCTCAAAGGGCTGTTTCTCTTAGGCTCTTACCACATGGAGATCCACCTAGGGCTGTTTCCAAGGGAAGTCCTTTCCTCAATCTAGGAACCTCCAAGAGGGATCCACATAGGGCTGTTCCTCTTAGGCTCTAACCACATGGAGATCCACATAGAGCTGTTTCCAAGGGAAGTTCCTACCAATCATCCTCATCATAATACTATCACTCATAACCTCAATCACAATCCTCAACCATTACCTCATTCATTATTGCTACTTCTATAATCATTCCTCAATTACTCTTAAACAATCAAACATCAACCAATAATCATCAATCAATCATAACATGTATCAATGCATGAATCAATGCATGAGCATACAATTACAATCATAATTACATATCACATCTCATAAACCATTTCTCCTCAACGGAGTATGGTGGAACACTCAATGGGATCAACCACAAGGTCCAAAGGTTTACCTTGCTCTTGAGCTTTCCTCAATTGCACACAACCCCAAGGGTTGGTCACTCCACTTGGTCCTCTTGCCTCAATCCTATCAACACAAGGAATACAATCAAACAATGCTAACAATGCAAGGAAATCCATAGTTCCAAGCCTAGATTTCTCAAAACAACAAAGCATACTAAAATAACACTATAAACTCATTTCTACCGATTAAATGTCATTCCTAGCATTTTTCACAACATACTCTAAGCCTCATTCTTCCTTGAACATAGCCAATCTACTCAACATTTCATAAAAACCCTAAAACACTATTCATTAAACCCTAACCATGAAATTTTCCAAGAAAACAAGGTTCAAGGGTTAGAATCTTACCACCAATGGTCACACAACCAAGGATTGATGGCACCTCAAGCTTCAATGAAGGTTGAAGCTCTCAAACACCTCAATTTCTCCAAAGGGCCTAATTTTTGAGGGGCAATATCTCACCACACAAAGCTCCCCACTAAGAACTAAGCTAGGATTAATGATGAGGGCGAGATTCTAAGTGATTTAGGCTTTTGAATCGCTCCAATCGGTTGAGAATAGCTCTCTCTCTCTTCCTCCCTTCCTTCTCCCTCCTTTCTCCTTCTTCTCCTTTCCCCTTCTTTTCTTTCTGTCGACGGTTTCTTGGGGGGGGGGGGGGGTTGGGTTTCTTTCTTGTTTTATCACTTAACATAAGTTAAGTGGTAACATGTGGGTATTAGTTCATCTATCTATTCAACTCCATTAATTACCAAACTTTACCCAAAAGTCTGGAATATTATTCTAGGAATATTTATATTTTTATTTTTATATTTTGGGCATTTTCGCCAGTATCCATTTATACCCCTTAATTTCCACTGAGTACACTTTTTAACTCCAAAGTGACTCAAATTCATTTAATTAAGCCCTATACTTAATTTTACTCACTAAAACATGCTTGATTATTTAATTAAAATTAATCAATTAAATGCTTAAGTTTGGGGTATTATAGCAAGCTAATAATTATATTCATAACAAATAATAGATTAAACCAGATTGACATATTCAAATACAAACTTAACCTTTTAAGACCAAAGTCTGACGCTATTCGACCCGTTAACACCCCTACGTCAAACTAAAGGATTTATAAAGGTGTTCCGGAGAAAATCTCCAACCTTCATCTTCTCTTTGAGCTTTCATTTTAGAATTTTGTTGACTATTAATTAAGTTTGATTTAAATACTTTAAAACCCTTATAATGCCAAGTTTTTTCTTGAGCTAACAGTAGATTATAATGGTTGATATGTCCTTTTAGATACAGAATAATAAAATGGTAATATGATGAACAAAGGTAACTTAAATGCTCACTATTATTAAAACTTCATCCTTACACACAAAGAAACCATAACTGTGAAGCTGAAGCATTGACAATAGGATAGAAACCATTCTTGATAAGGAAATCTTAGTAGCCTAGCCACATTGCTGTTATTGACTATTTCAAAGTTACTTTAGTATTGGAGGAAGATGGGGAGAGTAATGCAGATTCAGATTAGTGCTGCTGCTGCTTATTGGGCATGCATGTTTCATCTTTGCCATTTTCTTCACCAAAATGATTACTTTCTTGTTGATGATTTACAGAAGATCCATCAAGAGGCATGTCAACTTTCATATATTCCTCTCTTTCCTGCTTAATTTCTTTCATCATTGCTACAACATCTTTCATGGTTGGCCTGTCATCTGGGCTTGAGTTTACACAAAGCAAAGCCACACCTAAGGTCTGCAACATTTCCTCAATTTCAGATTCTGGCCTAGCTCTTAAGCTTTCATCAAGCACTTCAACTCCACCTCTTTTCTGTCTTACCCAATCAACAATATGGAGTCCATCTGGTATTGTTGGATCAATTGGTTGCTTCCCTGTTAGTACTTCTAATACAACAATACCATAGCTGTAAACATCACTTTTCTCTGTTATCTTCATCATATAACCATACTCTACAATCCCAACATGCAGATAAAGTATTAATGAATATATGTTAGTATGTAACTCTGAGAGAATGCACATTAAGAAAAAAAAGTTATATAAAATACAAAAAGCATGTGAAACATTTATTCAAATACACATACATTTGTTTTTGTTCTTGTTGATTACGGGGACAGGCTATCCCTAATGATATTATGAGTGATGAAAGTAAAACAAAATAATAAAATTTGAAGTTTTGGACTAATAGTACTAACCTGGAGCTATGTAACCATAGGAACCAGCTAGTGTACTAGAAGATCGTGCAAAATCTCCATCATCAACAAGTTTTGCAAGCCCAAAATCAGCAATGTATGGTTCAAATTCAGGGCCTATGAGGATGTTGTTGGCCTTAATGTCCCTATGAACAATGGAAGGAGCACAATCATGGTGTAAATAAGCCAAACCTTGAGCTGCTCCTAGTATTATTCGAAATCTGATGTCCCATTCCAAGCAGTTGCCACTTCGTTCATGAAGTAGACTTCCTAGACTCCCATTTGGCATATAATCATACATAAGCAATCTTGTGTTTCTGTTCCAACAGCAACCCAAGAACCTTACAATGTTCTTGTGGCGAATTGAACCAAGAGTTTTTACCTCAGCTGAAAATGAATCACGAACTCCTCCATTAACTGCTAATTTCTCATTTTGATTGTCATTTTGACTACCATATCTTGCAGCTATTGTTGTTGGCCATAGCCTTTTCACAGCAATGACATCTCCATTTTCCATTTCGGCGCGATAAACTATCCCTGAACACCCCTTTCCAATCACATTTGATTCCACCAAACACTTTAAAACTTGCTCCACACAGAAGTTTACCTTTTGGAATGGGGTGAACTGCCAAGGCCATGAATCTTTTCCCATCTCAGAATCATTGTCATCTCGAATCATTTTCCTTGCTCGAAAAACCGTAACAACTCCAAAGATTGACATAGCAATAGTCAAGGCACTGAGCAATCCAATGGCCAGTTTGATTATCTCTGACCTCTTAGAATTAGTTTCATTTAGCATTTTTGTCATTGCAGCATTGCTAACAAAACATGCATCATGGCCATTAGGACACAAACCTTGATTTCCTGCCAAATCTGTTGCTGATAGTTGATGGAATAACTTGGTGTCTGGTAGATAACCAGTGAATTTGTTGTAGGAAACATTTAGAGAAACAAGATTTTCAAGCCCTGAAAATACCATCAAGTCACCTTCAAGCATGTTGTATGAAAGGTCTAGAACAGACAGCTTGTTCAAAGCAGAAACCTCTGGTGGGATTACCCCAGATAATGCATTATGACTCAAATTTAGAGCAATATCAAGTGCTTCAATTTGAAACAGTTCTGGTGGGATGCTCCCTGAGAATATGTTGCTGCTAAGGTCTAGCAGTTGAAGACCTGAACATTTCCCAAGTGAGGAGGGAATTGATGCAGAGAAAGAGTTTTTGCTTAGGATGACTCTAAGAAGTGAAGTGAGTTGGCCAATACTCATTGGAACCACACCAGAAAAGTTATTGAGAGAAACATCCAAGACCTCTAGCCTTGTAAGAGAAGATAAATAACTAGGCAAAACACCAGAAAGGGAGTTATTGCTTAGATTCAGCATTTGCAGCTCTTTACAGTTTCCAATCTCAAGTGGTAGTGACCCACTAAGATGATTTTCAGACAGATCAAGGAAACTAAGGTTATTGAGGAAACCAATTTCTCTTGGTATCTCCCCATTGATTCTGTTGTTTACAAGCCGTAGTCTAATTAGAGAACTGCAGTTACCAATCTCAGGAGGAATGGGGCCAGAAATATCATTAGAGATTAGTAGAAGCTTTGTTAAATTTTGAAGCTTAAACAGGTCTGAGGGTAAGCTATCAGTGAGTGCATTGTATGACAAATCAAGAGCCTCAAGGCTTCTACAACCTCCCATTGCTGATGGAATGCCACCTTCAAGTTTGTTCTGCCATGCAAAAAAGACTGTTAGCTTTGTCAACCTTCCAAGCTCAGGTGGAATTGAACCTGATAGCTGATTTGTATCTAACTGTAACTGCACAAGGTTAGTAAGATTGGAAAGAGCAGGTGGTATTGAACCAGATATGTTATTGTTACTTAGCATAAGCTCTTCAAGATTTGAGAGTTGCCCCAAACTTTGAGGTATTCTACCAAACAAAGAATTTAAGGAGGCATCAAAAATCTTCAAGCTCCTGCAGTTGCCAATCTCCTCAGGTATACTACCAGCAAAATTGTTTTGCCACAACAGCATCTTTTCCAGCTTCTGAAGCTTACCTAGCTCTTTTGGCAGTGAACCAGATAGATCATTCTCATACAAAAACAAATTCACAAGCTCTGAACAGTTGCCTATTTCAGGAGGAATCTCACCAGAGAGCATAGTACTATAAATAGACATGGTCTGAAGCATGCTTAGCTTACCCAGTGATGCAGGCATTGAACCAGAAATTTTAGTATCAGCAAGACCCAACACTGTCAAATTCCTACAATCCCCAAGCTCATCTGGAATCTTCCCCACAATACCCTTGTTTCCTCCTGCTCTTACAACCTCCAGATTTGAAAGCTTTCCCAGCTCAACAGGAAGATCCCCACTAAGGTTGTTGTCAAAAATGTCAAGGTTCTTAAGATTAGCACAATCACCAAGTTCCCTTGGAATTGGACCAGTTAGCTGGTTAGAGTTCAAGCTCAAGTCTTGGAGCTTTTTGAGCTTCCCTATACTTGAAGGAATGTTACCCTCAAGACTATTTGAGCTAAGGTCAATGATTGTAAGCTCATTGCAATTCCCAATGTCAGGTGAGATAGCCCCAGAGAGGTTAGTTCCAGAAATGACAAGCTTTTGAAGGAAGGGAAAGGAAGAGATATTGGAAGGAAAAGGAAGGGCTAACTCAACTCCTTGAATGTTTATCTCAGTAACAAGGCTTTCTGAAGAGCATTTGATGTATGACCATTTGCAAGGAGTAGAGTCCAAAGGGTTCCAGTTAGAAAAAGCTGAAGGAACTTCGGAGGAGCTATGCATCCATGAAAGCAAAGCACCAACTTCATCATTGGAAGCAAAGGAAAGAGGTGAAGCAAGAAGTGTAAAGAGGAGAACATGCAGAACATGGTGAAGATGGTAGTGATGATAGTGATGGTTTGTGAGGGAAGCTTGCCTCGGCATTTGGTGGTGGTTGTGGTTGTTCAAGGCCTGCCTCGGCATTGACATTGGCAATTGCCTCAAAAACTCAGCCATAAGCATATCAACTCTTTGTTTTGCATTGGTTCTCTCTCTTTTTTTCTCTCACTATCTGGGGGTGTCTGTCACCATAGAAGCTAGGCTTACTATTATTATACTTGCTTTGAAATGAAGCAAGAAAAGGAGACAATAGATTTTTTTAAGATTTTGGAGTGAGAACCAGCACCACCTCCTCTGCCTCGGGGTTCTGTTCTTTTTGCCATATATTTTTTGCAGCATTGAATTTTGCATGCCTTGTTTGACACTAAAACTAGCTCACACCCCATGTGTTTTTGCATTGTTTTCCTCAAACTTAGTCACTACTATGGTCTGCACCATTTCTATATTTGTGTTGATAACCGAGCTACCTCTTTAATTTCAAAGAGTGGTTGCATCACTTTCTGGCATTTTGCTCCTTGTTTTTTGAGTTTCATTCAAAGCAGATTCCCCCCCAGCACTTTGAAGATCATTAGAATTGCTTTGTAAGCATCTGGGTCAATATAAATAAATTGTTCATTGTATCCAAAAAAAAATTAAAAAAAAAATTGTTCACGGAAGCATATTTAAATATTTTGCAGGTTTCATACTATAGGATAGTTTTCGTTCTAAGTTATTTAATCTTTTAATAACCTAAACTATAGCTTCGTCTCCTAGGATAATCCTTTTTTAGCTTAGCAAACTTAAATTAGGTAACTAGATTTATGAAAATAAAAAAAAATAAAAAAAAACTTTCTACAAGTACCTTCAAAGGGAAAAGTGTGTCATTTTAAGGAATGATGTAAAGTTGTGTCATTTTAAGAGAGAGAAAGAGATAGATAAAGAAGGAGATACAATTGACAAAAAAAATAAAAGTGTTGGTCTCACCTCTTTGTGAGAGTGAAATGATATAAGTTGTGTCATTTAAAATGATAAACACTTTTACCATGTTAAAATCATAACACAAACTATATCATAAATAAAGTACAGAAAAAAAATGAAAAAAAAAATAGTTACACATCACAGTTATGTACATTGTTGTCACACTTTTTATTTTAAAATAATAAGTACATTGAAATGTGTGTTACTTTTTTATTCATTCCTGATTTCCATTTTTTTTTCCCACCTCTCAGTACATTCATTGTTTTTTATATGCTCAAAGTTGAACATTATTATGCTTTGCAAAGTAATTATACCTAAACACTGGTTAGGTTGTAACCTTATGGTTTTAGTTGCAAAATAAACCTCTCATACGTTGGCTTCCCTTTCTTTCTCTCTATTTTTTCCCACTCAATAATTACACCCATAGGAATAAAATTGAATGGTAGCATCTAACCCTAATTTATAATCATTTTTATTCCTTATTAGGAATTATTTCTTTGTAAAAATAAATGATGCCCTTCCTTAGGTAGCCAAAGTTCTTCAAGATTAACAAAATCATAGCCCCATATTTTCTTGAAAACCCAACAAGAAATCCTACTTATGATCCAGTTGATTATAAGCAGTGGTATTTGTAAGGGAATCCCTTTTTCTTGGTGCTTTATTTAAGGTAGATTTGGATATGTATTCCCCTCTCCCTCTCCCTTTTTAACTTAATGATCAATTGTAGGATTCAAAATCAGGCTGCAATGGCCAAAATTATTAAAGAAGCAGAAGCCAATGCATGTGAACACAATTTACAAGATGGGAATCAACTCTTTTATTTTATTTTTATTTTTTTTCTGAAAGCAATTCTAATTATTATAGGTCATGGTACCCTTATGACTATACCTTATAATCTTTTGACCAAAAGAGGATTTCACTTGAAGACTTCTCTACTGGAAGTAAATAGTACAAAGGCCAAGGAACTAGTGGCTCTTTAAGTCACCCATTTTGTGTTACATGCCAATCTTCTTCCTGGAATAGCACCAAGAGAAAATTACTCAAATGTGAATACGATTGTTATTGTCCTTTGAATTATCATCTTTTTTTCTACTATGTTTTGAGAAGCAATTGCCTAATACCTACTGTTCATTCCACTATTCCAATTAAATCTTGATACCGACATGACCTCTTCAATTTCAAAATATCAATACATTGTCTAGTATCGTACGGTGGTTTTCTTTGTCTTTTATTTACTCTCTTTTTTTTGGAATAAGGAAAAAAAGTCAATTACAAAAAGCAATTTCTAGCCATAGTAAAGCCTGAAGCATCTCTATCTAGCAAAATTCTACACCCAAGAGGTGGAACATCAAAAACATGAACCTCTCAATTATCAAGTTGGTGTGCGTAAGCCAGTCTGCTAGCATGTTCCCCTCTCTGTGTATATGAGTTATAACTGTATTCTAGTTATCATCAAGGGTCATTTTAATTCTGTTGACCAAATGGGCCATAGGATGGTTATCCTGACATCCATTTTTGATAAAATTCACTACCACCATTGAGTATCCTTCAAAGCAGATATTTCTAAACCCAGCCTTCTTCGCTTGCTCCACACCCTCCATGAAGCCACGCAGCTCAGCAGCGAGGGAGTTACCAAACCCAAGTCTACCGCAGAAACCTCCAAGCCATCTTTCTTCTTCGTCCCTCATAACTCCACCAAAGCTAGAACTTGTTCCTCCATTTTGACTTGAGCCATCAACATTAACTTTGATCCAACGAGGTTGAGGGCGCTCCCATCCAATTTGCTAGATCGTTCTGGTAGGCTGGATTCCACTGGTTTGCAGTAGCCTGTGAGCCTCGATGGTATTAAGGACAAAAGATGTAATTGCCAGAGACATACTCCTTTCCTGCGTGATTTTCCCTTGGAAGACTAACTCATTTCTGGCTTTCCAAATGAGCCAGTAGGCCACGCCAAAGGTCAACTCCCAGTTGTCTCCAAGGTTCATTAAATGCCGTTGAGAGAGGTTAACCTCCAGCTATAATATCCCTAACCTAATTAAATAGTAAATTATATGTAATTAAGTAAATTAGCATGTATTAGTGAGTAAAATTAAGTATAAGGCCTAATTAAGTAAATTGGGGTCACTTTTGATGTAAAAAGTGTACTCAGTGAAAATTAAAAGGTATAAATGGGTGTAGGCAAAAGTATCCAAAATATAAAAATGAAAGTGAAAATAATCCTAGAGAAATATTCCAGACCTTTGGGTAAAGTTTGGTGGTGAATGGAGTTGATTAGATAGATGAACAAATATCCGCTTAAAGTCACTTAACATAAGTTAAGTGACCAAAAACACAAACCACCCATTCATTTCTTCTCCTCCATCGTGAAATCTGAGAGAGAAAGGGAGAGAAGACACCATTGAAGAGCCATAACCCTAGATTCTTCAATCCTCAACCATTTTGAGTGATTCCAAAGCCTAAACCACTCCAAATCTTCTCCTCTTTCATAATCCAAGTTTGGTTTGTTGTGGGAAGCAGTGTGGAGTGGGATTTTTCTTGTTGAAAGTGGCGAAAATTTAGGGATTTGAGGTGTTTGAAGGTGATTCTTTCCATGGGAGCTTAGGAGGTCAACATCCATTGGTTGTGGAACCAATTGTGGTAAGATTCTACTCCTTGAACTCTATTTTCATGGAGAATGTATGATTGGGGAAGATGATGAATAGTGTTTAGGGTTTTATGATAATGTGAGTAAATTGGCTATGTTCTAGGAGGATTGAGACTTAGTGTATGTTGTGAAAAATGCTAGGAATGTTAAATAAACGGTAGAAATGAGTTTAGATTGTTATTTAAGCCATGTTCAAAATCTTGGAAAATTTATGCTTGAAGTGTTGATTTTCTAGTAGTGTAAGACATGGTTTGGTTTGGTTGGTTATTGATTGTGTCCATGTTATGACTAGGATTGAGACAATTGGACCAACCTTGAGTGACCAACCATTGGAGGAAGCTATGGAGCTTGATTAGCTCATTAGAATAGGTAAGCTCATGCTAATCGACGTTGTAGAGTTGTTGTTGTGTTGATGGATATATAAATATTTGGTTGCTTGTATGATTGATTCTGTGACACCTTGGTGTAGGTGTGTATTTTACAAGTTATAGTTTGAACTCGAAGTTGACTGGTTGTAGAACTCATTTGTGAAGAACAAAGGTTGAACTGAAGCTTTGAGGTAAGCCTTCGGACCTTGGGTGTTGATCCCTTATTTGTTCCACCAAGCCTGGAAGGGGTAGTGGTTGTTGATAGTGTATGTAAATGCAATGAGGTAGTTTAATGCTTTGTTATACGTATGTGTATGCATTTGGTGTGGCATAGGATGGTGTTTCCCTATGTTGGTATGTTGCATGACGATGCGTAATTCATACTTGGTAGTTTAGCTGGCCAGTAGGACTATTTGCATCTGAGTATCCTTAGGACAGCTTGAGAGCTCGAGGGATTTCTCCTGGAGATGTTTGTTACACACTGCATGGATATGTATTTATTGCATTATTTTTGTTATTGCTATTACACTATTATTGAACTATGGGGTTGAGAGATGCTCCAAGGACCCCTGGTTTACTGTGATATATTCGTATATCTCACCCTGTGTTGTGGGGAACCCCTTTCAGGTAAAGATGATGCAGGAGCCTCTGGTGGCAAGTGGTCATATTTTGATTAGTAGATGCATGAAGATGTTGCATTCTTTTGGATTATACATGATATGTAGTAGTACCATGTATAGGATTTACATTTGAAAGTCAATAGCTATATGTATTTTACCTCCTATTTTGATGGACTTAGCCTATGCTCATCTCTTTTAGGTACCTCTTTTGTTGATGAGAACTAAGGGATTGATCATAGTGTTTTGTAGCTAAGTCCCATGAATTGTAATTAAGACATGTTGTAATTATAGGATATAGGTATATGAGGAAATGGTATGCATGTCTATTTTGATGTATATGTACCTTGCAAGAACTATGAACCATTTATTGAAAGGATTATATGATGTCAATTAGGTGAAAGAAGACCTTTAGGTTGAAAATCCAAGTAAAAGTAAAGATATCTCGTCTTGTTGTCCAATTTTTTCATCCTATATGATAGATTTGGACCCTTATGTCTTAAACAAAGTTGTAGATATTTTTCTTAGCTT